AAGTGCCGCGGCATACACTCGACCCTTCACAGACAACCGGATGTCGCGACGGCGCCACGAATGTCTCAAGTTGGCAAACGCCAACCGAGCCTTTTGTATGTGCGCCGACACTTCATCCGTGATGCGTCCGCCAGGCGAGATATAACTGCCCAGATAGCAAAATTTGTCTACTTTCTCTTGTAGTATCACGATGTCGTCTGCATACTCTAGATCAGACAGCCTGCCACCTGGAAGTTAATTGATGCCGCTATTCTCGCACGAGGATAGAGCTGTTTCCACAATCGAATCTACCACTTTCCGTGGTGAACTCAGGTGGAAACGTGCCGTGTTGATCACTGTGCATAAATTTCCATTAATAACAAACAAAACAGTAACAGGTAATGGTTTATCTTCGAAGTACCCTGCCCACCGTTCAAGATGCAATTGTACAAATGAACATTTTATCTATTCATGTTTGGTTATTGTCTGCATAATGTTTCTCATTTGTCTGAACAACATCAATGTACTTCCTTCGGAATTGCGTAAGGCAAACCATTTGTGGATTAAGTTACCGAAGAAACTTATCGCACTGAATAACGAGAATCTATATGATTAGCGCTTTCAAATTCTTTCCACTGTGTCACTATCCCCTTTTTCTAATCATCTGTAACAACCACGGGCGCATCAATACACACACAATTTATCGGTACTATGGATGCCGTTTATATTGATTTTTCCACATCAAATATTCGGCCGTGGATAAAAATGTAAATTGTACGATTCAGCCGTCCGTTGTCTGCTTTCTCACCCAACAACTTTCCTTCCTTTGTTCTTTCCCTCCCTCTAACACTTGATAGAAACAGTTTAATACTAAAGCTAAAATAACCATGTAGAACATTAAAAAATAGGTTTCTCCCTTTTTAATTGCTCACAATGTCACTGTAATTGATTGCATTTTCACTCACACCCCAAGAACTTATCTGCCGTCGCATGCACAAGAACCCTGCTGGTATTATTCCTTGGTAGCTGTTAAGTGGTCAAATTAAAAGCCCCGCTACGACCACACATTAGATGATACAAAAACTGAACGATGTGCCTCACAGAACCAACTGCAAAAGTTTCTGCGGTTGCATGCCTGTGAGATATTTATGGCAATGGAAGAATTAAACGAACCGAAAAAGTAACAAAACTTAAAAAACATTAGCACAACATTTTCCCATTTTGCCATGTCCTGAAGTGTCTTAAATATTCGATAACCCGCGATTTGATAATTTTTAAATTTTAAATGTATGCTATTGTCTACCCCCAGAAACATACTTTTGGTATCCACTTTCAAAAAGGATATATTACTTCCATTTTTCTATTATCATGATAACCTTTTTGTAAGAAAATCGTGGCGGAGAATCGAGAAACTCAGGAGAAACTAACATGGTCTCCCAGAATTGTAGTCATGATTCTTAAAATTTCCACGGAAATTCATCTGACGATTCTATAGTGATTAACTGAATAAACCAAGGAGCCATTGCTACTATCTTAACTGGTAAGTATTTAGTTATACACAAATTTAATTAATCTACAGAAATACGGGAGAGGGGAAATGCTAATTCAAACACTCATAGATTTGGAACAAACATTGATGAATGGAACGCAAATAGCGGATGGCGACCGCGTTTACTGAGGAGTGAAACAACGTGGAAGCTTTATGAAGTTGTACCAATAATTTAGCTTCACTGAAAAGTTATTTTATCTAGCGAAATATGGAGGGGAATCCGATCAAACGACCCCAAATTAAGAATTCAAAAAACTTACAATATGATGGGAACAGAACTTCGCTCGTTTTCGGTGCTTTGTAATCATAATACCTGAGCACTACCTTGCGTGGCTGAAAATTGGAGTAATTCAGTCAAACACAAATGTGGTTTTGTCGCACCTTGTTAACACTAATCACATTGTAAACGTGACCGAAGCGTTTCAACCCCTGTAGAGAGCTAAAATGGGTCAGTCTAGATACGTGCATTTTTGCATATTGTCCACAGCGGTGACAGTTTAGCATCCGTCTTCACTCAAATGCAATATGTGTAAGCTCTCACACACCACTTGTTGGATTGCAGATAAGTTACTCCCCACGAAACGTCGAAGCAAGTGATAATTGACTCTTGACTAAACCCACTTTTAAAAGGAGTATCTATTATTATGCAAACTGTTGAGTATTCAATAAATTCCCCGTTTTGTTCGTAAATCTCCACATGCGATTAGTCATATACATTGTGTTGTAATCGCTTGAAAAGAAGCTTGTTTCCTACTCGCTGTTCTCAACATGTGTTCTGCGGTAAATTTCGTCATGTACGGAGCAAATGAAACAGTAACTGAAAAGCAGTAACTGAATAGCAGTTTCAACCTGTGTGGGTTTCATCAGCAGTGTAAATCCATCAACTCAACTGGGAATCGAACCGGGGACATGACAGGTAGAATACAGACATACTATGCACCATGCAGTTTATCAGGCCGTTTTTCACTTTGGTTGAACACAATCGATCTTTGAAAACTTGTTACACGCATAACTCCGTTAGAAAAACTCCAAACTTGACTACCTGATACATGCGATTAGCAAAGGATTTGATTAGATTATACAATAAATGAATTCCATTCTATGCAGTCTGATCAAAACATCCATTCAGTAGTTCTTCTCAGCTTTCCAGTTCATGCTTCGTTTGCTCTGTCTGCGAAAGACAAATTGTTTTACAATACGTGATTAAATCGGATCATCCACTACTCTAAAATATAAGATAGACACTAGAGCTTTCCTCATCATCGACCTATGGTTCGGAATGAAACCTGACACTCCAATATTCCTTTTCTTTAATTGTTAGTTCTTCCCGAAACCGTGTTAGCATGAAGGATCACATTTGAAAATCTGAGATCAACTGTGCAATAGTTTACTACTGTTGTCGTATGGAATGCGTAGTGTGCATCCCTTCCGTGGGGTCGAGCTTTAAAACTCTGAGATAGAACAACAACAACAACAACAACAACAACAACAACAACAACAACAACAACAACAACAACAACGTGCTTCTCACCCAAAACCTAGTTAAACTGCCCCACAATGGGATGCAACACACACACTCAACATTTTGCAATCATGTTCGTGCTCACTCCACCACCTCCAGGGGGTTGTGACTCGGTCCGAAACATTCGGAATGGGAATCAGGTGGAACTCAAGCAGTTCAATCCAGCAGGAAACACGTGACAGTCCGTACTGTGACTGGAAATGACAAGCTGGAGTTTGACATGTCATTCCTGCTCTAACGTCACCATGCCCACATTAGTGGACAACAATCGGCACCGAGGGAGTTCTACTAAGCGATCTCATTCTCAAATGATGAGGGGAGTTCTACGGGTAGTTGAGGAATACAGAAACACTGTTTTAATTAATCCACACATGGATTTCTCTTTTCAAATCTTTCAGTTATTCAAGTCATTCATGAAACGCTTCGGGAAAGTTTCTGAGTATAATAAAAACTCGTTGAAAATAGGAGGCGATTTATTTATCCGTTCAATCATCATTACTTGCTCGGAAATAATTAAACATCGCGGAAGTTACATCACTTCACAACTATGCCCTTCATTGACCCCAAACAAATGAATGTGATATCCGAATCAATTTAGCACATAATATTACTGTACATTAGGCTTGTAGTTTCAGTTATGACCAATATTTCCACCCTTGCATTTGCTTTTTAAAAAGGTGTTCTCCTTGTTTGTAAATCGCAAGAAGGGGGCATATTCAATGCTAGCTATGCGCGTTCTTTGCTTTTTAATGCAGGTAACTCTAAACACAGCCGAGGGACAAAAATGACACTTAGTACAGAGACTGACGGTCTGGTGGTAACGTAATGCTATCTTTGCA